AGAATGGAACGAAAATTATGAATTGGTAAGTGATGGTCAAGTGATAAAAGGAACGAATGCCTAAGATATTGTCAACGATTTAATACGAAGTCGTAAAACCGTGTCGCCAGCTCCGGGGTGGAACGATGTCGTGTCCACGTTAAAGAAGACACATGCTTCGCGAGAATGGGTAGGGAATGCAGACCGATGGAAGTCACCAACTCGTAGACCACAGGAGAAAGAACAAAAGACACCGCCTCGTAGGACACCCCAGCAGACCCCACGTACACCCCTGGAGGTACGCTGGACGACCTCTCGAGAACAAAAAAGAAAACGTCTTCAAACCAGTCGAAGATCAGCACCACGTTGGATCCCCTTCAGAGACTTGTAAAAACTGTTTTAATAAAAAAAACTGTAAAGTTTTAATAACAAACCTGTAAAACTTGCAAAATAATGTTTATTACAAAATAAAGTTTATTACAAAATACCTAGTGTGTACTGAGTGTGTAAACAGTATAAATAGACCCGTGAGAATTGACCTTTTAAAATGGACAAGAAGTTGGCTCGTGTGTATTACGACCCCAGACATCCTGCGGGTTTCGGGGGAGCGACCCGTTTACAGAAAGCTACCGGGGTTCCATTGAAACGTGTCCGGGCCTGGTTACGGGGACAACGCACGTACACCTTGCATAAACCCATACGAAAACGTTTCCCTCGTTTATCCACCGTCGTAGCCGGTGTAGATCATCAGTGATAGGCCGATTTATCTGATCTCTCGTCCTTGGCGTCCTTTAACGATGGGTACAAATTCTTACTGTGTATCATTGACGTATTTTCCAAATATGCCTGGGTGGTGCCACTCAAGAATAAAACAGGTCCCACGTTGTTGAAGGCTTTACAGGGCGTTTTAATACAAAAGCGTATTCCGCTACGACTGCAAACAGACAAAGGAACCGAATTTCTCAATCGACATGTTAAAGCTTTCCTGAAGAAGAAAAAGATTCATTTTTTCGTCACGCACAATGTCGAAACCAAAGCCTGTGTGGTGGAACGATTTCAGCGCACGCTCAAACAGCGCATGTGGCGTTATTTTACGCATCGGAACACACAACGTTATATCGATGTACTGGCCGATTTGGTGAGGGCATACAACGGGGCCCGACATCGTACTCTCAGCATGGCACCCAAAGAGATGACCCCGGACAAAGAATGGCAAATCACTTCCAAGAAAACCAAGGTAGTTCCAGCCCGATTGTCTCAACGTACGCCCATACGTTTGGCATCATGGGGCGTTCGACAAAGGCTATAGGCCCAACTGGACCCTGGAAACGTTTCGAGTGGATCGACAGAGTGGCTCGACGTATAAATTATTGGATGAACGTGGCGATCCTATCGCCGGAACATTTTATCCCCAAGAATTACAAAGGTTGAGAACGGATCCCGACGAAGAGTTTCCCATTGAACGTGTGTTGGATCGTCGCCGCGGCGAAATGTTGGTCAAATGGTTGGGATACCCTGCCAGCTTCAATTCCTGGATACCCAAGAACGCCGTTGTCTATAAATAGTCCCGATGTGTTCCAGAGAATGTCACAATGTCACAAGACGAAGCCACGTCAACGATTTCTACGTCCCTCTCCGAACATCGACGTCACTGGTCTTGTTTTGGCAGTCGCATCCCGCGAGCGGAAATTTCTTTTTCTGTCAAGTGATTTTAGTGTACGTGGTGGCAGGTGTCGCTTTAGCTCAGTTTGCCACACGCCCCGACGGTCCCCAAACCACCCTGTGGACGGCCCTCCTGTCCAGTAGTATTGGCTATCTGCTTCCGGCGCCAGCCCTCAATACCACCCCCAAAAATGACAAATCCCAGCCAGTTTTATCTCAAATTACCTAGTGACAGTCCCATGAAAGTGTATCCCGACAACGCAATGTCCAGTTACCGTACGCTGCTGAATTCTCCCATCGATTTGGACCACCGATATTGGGAAGTGGGATTGGCTTCCGTGTCGTTTACCACGACGTGGAACAATCTCTCGGAAGGAAGTAGCGAAATTAGTCTTATGATGGTGATGATCGCACCCTATAATCCAGAGGTACACAGGCCAGACAACATACCGAAGAATGACAAATGGAATATGGTCGAAGAGCCCGCCAAGGTTGAGAAAAAAAAAGTATCCTATTCCTGGAGGAACGTACAACAGTGTCCAACACTTGTTGGCTGAGATAAATTCGCTTATACGCGGTTTGTTTAAAGATCACGTGACGCTCGAAACGTCGCATGCCAAACCTAAACGAAGACATCCGGACAATCCCGAACTCATGGAAATCGAAAAAGAACAAGAGAAGAATTATCAAGCCAAAATAGATGCCTACAGCAAAGCGATCAAAGAAGAACCGATCATATCCTTCGTGCTGGACGAAGTCACGAAAAAGGTCAAGTTGCAGACGGCTTTAAATATCTCAAACTTATACCCTTTCTCCAGTTGAAGTTAACGGGCCGCGTGGTATCTTTGTTGGGATGGATTCACGAGACCACGATTATGCCCCAATTGGACCATTTAACGTCTTTCGAACAGAGGGATGTCATCGTGGCCCCGGACACCTTCGACATCAATGTGGGACACACCATATTTTATCTGTATGCAGATCTCTTGGAAGCCCAACGGGTGGGGAATGTGGTGGCGCCTTTGTTTGATGTCTTTCCAAGTTCTCACGGTTATCATCGCCGACGGTCATCCATTATCAGCCCTTCAAGTACGACAGCATCACCACCATTGGCCTCTATATAAGAAACGGTCTTGGCCATAAAGTGTCATTCACCAAAAGAAAAGTCGTCGTCAAACTACATTTCCGAAGAAAAGCAATTTAAAACATAATGCAATTTTATCGTGGTGTGTTACGCCAAAAGGGCGCCAACATGAAGACGCCCACGCCCTCAACGTCTACCGGGGAAGTGTCTTGTGGCAAAAGGGTGCGGGGCGTTTACAGGGGTAACTGAACATGGCGAAACCCTTTCTGCAAGCTGGAAAGAACGCCTTAAAGACCAATTTTTTGAACCAAGAGACTTTTGGAGAATTGGGAAAAGCAGCCCTTGGTTTGATATCGGGAAAACAAAGTGTGGGCCAGAGTTTGAAGAATGTGTTCCAGCGCACCATAAAACCACGTCTCCGACAAACACTAGTCGATGTCATGTCCTCCCAAACACCCCAAAGCAGATGCCGACAAACAGACACCAGACCGCCCAAAACCAAAAATTCTATAAAAAGGAAAAGAAAATCCACTGGCGTCATTTCACGAGCCAAACGTCCTCGGCCAGACATCTTCGATCATGGCTTCAGCAATGCGTAACGATTCATGTCCTTGTGCTCGCGATGAACTGGAACAATTGTTCCAAGTGCCCGACACGCACACGGCCATTACCCGAGTAACCAAAATACGCAAATACGCCATCACACCCGATCTGAATCACGATGGACCGATTGAATTTCTGGTGAACAATGCCAGTACGGATTTCATCGATTTGGCCAATACAACCCTGTACCTGCAACTCAAGGTGGTGAAAGAGGATGGTACCAATCTACCGGTAGACGAACCCGTGGGTCTCGTGAATAATTGGATGCACTCTTTGTTTAAAGATGTGAAATTTCGGCTTGGAAAAGCTTCTGATACGTTGGTCACGTCTCCTCTACCTAATTACGCCTATCGAGCTTACCTAGAGAATTTACTGAGTTATGGAAAACAAGCCAAGACGAACCATTTAGACCGACAAGTCCTGTGGCACAAGGATACAGCCGGCGAATTTGATCAAGCTTCACCCGTCAAAGTCAATGCAGAGGCCCCCGAACCTGTCAATGACAAGTTGGTGGAGCGCTACAAACGTATCTCTCAAAGCCAGGTGGTGGAATTACAATCACGGTTACATTTAGATATGTTTTACAAGAGAGGTACTTAGTGGACCAAGTCGATCTACGTCTGAGTTTGGAAAAACAATCCTCTAATTTTTTCCCGATGCATGCCAACAATAAAGGACCCTACAAGATTGATTTCATCAAAGCTTGTTTGGCAATTCCGTTCGTCACCCTTTCTCCCCCCACGTACACGTGGATTAACAACCAACCCCAAACCACCAATGCCAAGTATCCCTTGAAACGCATGGTCGTCAGAGATGTGGTCGTGCCGAGTAACCGTACCAGCCACATCCTGGACAATCTGTTCATCAACGAAACCTTACCCACGCGTCTATTTGTGGGGTTGGTCAGTAACCGAGCTTACGATGGACATAATACCAGGAATCCGTTCCGATTTCATCATCATAACCTCAAGCACATTCGATTGACCATAGATGGAATAGTCGTGGATGATTGTGCCGATCTCAACTTTACCATCACACCGTACATGGATTTAATGAATCGCGTTGGTTTTCTCAACACCCGAGAAGATTTGGATCTCACTTTCCACGATTATATCAAGGGTTACACGCTGTTTTGTTTTGATTTGACCAACGACCAAGGAGCAGACGTGGCCTATTCACACCCCAGAACCACGGGTAACCTGTCTCTAGAACTACGTTTCTCGGTAGCCCCCACTAGCGCTATCAATCTTATGCTGTTTGCCGAATACGACAATGTCTTGGAAATCGATCGTAACCACCGAGTCATCATGGATTGGTAGTCCTTTATCCACGTTACAATTGGAAGAGGCCCTGCGAGATCATTTGGCATCTTTGGTGGCGTCTGGTCCCGGAATCACCTGTACCAGCTGCCACCCCATACCTATCCTCTAGCCTACATTGTAAATACCCCGGCACCCACTGGACCGTGTTTATATGTGAAAGACCTGGACACTTGTATTTTTTCGATTCTTACGGATGCCCACCCGAGACCTATGGACAAGCCTTTGCCGATTTCAGTCAACGTGACGGACCCACTACCCATTAACCCCAATGGTTACAGAGTTTAACCAGTTTTGTGGGTGGACAAACGTGTTGTTCTTTTTCAAAACTGTAAATACGTTCAGTTATTGTTCTATTGTTCTATAATTAAAAATGTTATTAAAATTGTTATTAAAATGTTATTAAAATGTCTTTTTCGTGAACGCGTGCTGGGGAACTCACCAGAAAGGGCGAGGGAACCCCCCTGAACAAGTCCCGAGAAAGGGCGAGGGCACCCCGAGAAAATGCAAGAGAAAACGAGCAAATTTAACTCTCGAGAAAGGAACCCCAATCAAAGAAAAGGGGAGGGAATCCCCGAGAAAGGGCGAGAAAACACGAGAAAATGATCGTTGCTAAGGATGATATCATACATGACTTCATCATGGGAAATGATGTCATTACCGGAAGTGACCGTTGCTAAGTAGGACCGGACGTGACCTGCACATACACAACACCGGTGCTAGGGCTTATGCGCATGCGCGCCATCGTCCCTATACCGCCGCCCCCACTACTAATGTGTTTTGGAGACATTCTGTAGATATACATGATTAAAATCTGTATTTTTGAGGTTCAAGCCTGCATGTCAAAAAACAAGGAGAAAGAGCTTTTTTTAAATTTTATTTGAATCCACTGCCCAGACATCCTCATTTATGATATCTTTAGTTCGTTATACAAAACTGATTTAATCAAATGTGTTTTGGAGACATTCTGTAGATATACATCCATCAAATCTTCTATTTTGAGATTCGATTCTGAATATCGAAAAACGAGTAGCTTGTTTTTCAAGATTGGCCAATATAAAAAAACAAGGAGAAAGAGGTTTTTTTTATGTGAATCCATTGCTCAGGTATCCGCATTTTTGATATCTTTAGTTCGTTTTAGAATACGTATTTAATCAAATATGTTTTGGAGTCATTCTGTAGATGTACTTCCATTAAATCTGCTTTGTTGAGATTCACGTTTGAATACCGAAAAACGAGCTACTCGTTTTTCGACATTCGGCAATATCAATAAACAAGGAGAAAGAGCTTTTTTTTTTATGTGAATCCACTGCTCAGGCATCATCATTTATGATATCTTTAGTTCGTTTTAGAACACTGATTGAATCAAATGTGTTTTGGAGAAATTCTGTAGATATACATGATTAAAACATATAATTGTGAGATTCGCCTATATCAAAAAACAAAGGAGAAAGAGCAGTTTTTTTTTATGTGAATCCACTGCTCAGGCATCCTCATTTATGATATCTTTAGTTTGTTTTACAAAACTGATTTAATCAAATCTGTTTTGGAGACATTCTGTAGATATACATCCATCAAATCTGCTTTTTTGAGATTCAAGCCTGATTATCAAAAAAACAAGTGGCTCGTTTTTCGACATTCGCCAATATAAAAAAAACAAGTAGAAAGGGCAGTTGTTTTTGACTCCACTGCTCAGGCATCATCATTTATGATACCTTTAGTTCGCTTTACAAAACTGATTTAATCATTTAATGTGTTTTGGAGACATTCTGTAGATGTACTTCCATTAAATCTGTATTTTTGAGATTCAAGCCTGAAAATCGAAAGATAGGTTGCCAGCCAACGAAACATATGCCCACAGCAGCTATATCGTCCGGACAGTCAACAAGAGTTGTCGCATATTTTTACCTTTTTTCGGTAATGATACATTTATAATACATTAAAATCTGACTAAGAGTAAGTAATTATCAGAAAACCATTAGAATTTGTTTGATTTTTATAAAGTTCTGACCCATGCTAACGTTTAGTATACAAAACTTTTAACATCATGGATTTAGCTGTTTAAGTCATAAAGATTCATTGAAAATCAATATACTTGTTCGTCTCAAGACCTTAAACTCTGTGTATCAATCTGAAGTCAATCGGGTGATAACTTTAGCCTCTAAATCGTCACAAGATTTTTCAAAGTGATCAAGGGCCATAACTTTGGCAGTAATTATCCGAAATCGTTGAAAATCAAAATGATTCTTCGTCTCATGACCTCAAACACTGCGTATAAATTTAAAGTCAATCGAATATTAACTTTAGCCTATAGAGCGTCCACAAGCAATTGGGGACGCCAGACGGACGGACGGACGGACGGGGGCGACAACAATATACGAGGTGGGTAGAGAACATGCTAAAAAGAAAGTGATTTTTCCTACAAAAAAGGGCCATAAATCAGGAAATTGCAATTCGATATGCGCAACGGTGATATAATAATACGGTTTTTTAAATCGGATAAAAATCATGACCTCTATAGTGTCCACAAGCCAAAAACGTGATTTTTCGTGCAATCAGGGGCCATAATTCAGGAAGTTACGGTCCGATATGCGCAAATATCGAAAGGAACCGAGATTTTTGGGTTATAAACGAAATTCAAACTCAGTCTTCCTTAGGGTGTAACGGTGATATAATAATACGGTTTTTTAAATCGGATAAAAATTATGACCTCTATGGGGTCCACAAGCTAAAAACGCAATTTTTCGTACAATCAGGGGCCATAATTCAGGAAGTTAGAGTCCGATATGCGCGAATATCAAAAAGCAACCGAGATCTATGGTTATAAACTTACATTTCAAGTTTCAGCAAAATCGGATAAAAATTGTGACCTCTATAGGGTCCACAACCTTCATATACCATATTTTTACGCTATTTGAAAACGAACGGCGGCCATTTTATCTGTCAATTTTAGGCCAATTTTCACGAAATTCGAACTCAGTCGTCCTTAGGGTGTAACGGTGATATAATAATACGTTTTTTTTTAAATCGGATAAAAATTGGGACCTCTATAGGGTCCACAAGCTAAAAACGCAATTTTTCGTACAATCAGGGGCCATAATTCAGGAAGTTAGAGTCCGATATGCGCGAATATCGAAAGGAACCGTGATCTTTGGGTTATAAACTTACATTTAAAGTTTCAACAAAATCGGATAAAAATTGTGACCGCTATAGAGTCCACAACCTTGATATATCATATTTTTTGGCTATTTGAGAACTAACGGCGGCCATTTTGTCTGTCAATTTTGGGCCGATTTTCACGAAATTCGAACTCAGTCAATCCTTAGGGTATAACGGTGATATAATAATACGTATTTTTTTTTAAATCGGATAAAAATTATGACCTCTATAGGATCCACAAGCTAAAAACGCAATTTTTCATACAATCAGGGGCCATAATTCAGGAAGTTAGAGTCCGATATGCGCGAATATCGAAAGGAACCGAGATCTTGGGGTTCTAAACTTACATTTAAAGTTTCAACAAAATCGGATAAAAATTGTGACCTCTATAGGGTCCACAACCTTGATATATCATATTTTTACGCTATTTGAGAACGAACGGCGGCCATTTTGTCTGGCAATTTTGGGCCGATTTTCACGAAATTCGAACGCAGCTGTCCTTAGGGTGTAACGGTGATATAATAATACGGTTTTTTAAATCGGATAAAAATTATGACCTCTATAGGACCCACAAGCTAAAAACGCGATTTTTCGTACAATCAGGGGCCATAATTCAGGAAGTTACGGTCCGATATGCGCGAATATCGAAATGAACCGAGATCTTTAGGTTATAAACCTACATTTAAAGTTTCAACAAAATTGGATAAAAATTGTGACCTCTAGGGTCCACAAGCTAAAAACGTGATTTTTCGTACAAACAGGGGCCATAATCCAGGAAGTTTCGATCCGATACATGCCAATATCGAAAGCAGTCGAGATCTTTTGGAGATAAACCTATATTTCAAGTTTCGTCAAAATCGGATAAGAATTGTGACCTGTAGAGTGTCCACATGAAAATGTGGGCGTATAAAAACGAGTAGCTCGTTTTTCGAGATTCGCCAATATCAAAAAAAACAAGGAGAAAGAGCTTTTTTTTTATGTTACTCCACTGCTCAGGCATCTTCATTTATGATAACTTTAGTTTGTTTTAGAATACTTATTTAATCAAATGTGTTTTGGAGACATTATGTAGATATACATGATTAAAATCTGTATTTTTGAGATTCAAGTTTGAATATCGAAAACAAGTAGCTCGTTTTTCGAGATTCGCCAATATCAAAAAACAAGGAGAAAGAGCAGTTTTATGTAAATCCACTGCTCAGACATCTCTTTTACGATATATTTATTTCAGTTTAGAACACTGATTTAATCAAATGTGTTTTGGAGACATTCTGTAGATATACATGATTAAAATCTATATTTTTGAGATTCAAGTCGGAATATCGAAAAACGAGTAGTTTTCTAGATTAGCCAATATCAAAAAACTAGAAGAAAGAGCTTTTTTTATGTGAAGCCACTGCTCAGGCATCCTCATTTATGATATTTTCAGTTCGTTTTAGAATACTTATTTAATCAAATGTGTTTTGGAAACATTCTGTAGATATACATCCATTATATATACTTTTTCGAGATTCAAGTTTGAATATCGAAAACATTCGCCAATATCAGAAAAAAAGGAGAAAGAACTTTTTTTTTATGTGAATCCACTGCTCAGGCATCTTCATCATTATAACTTTAGTTCGTTTTAGAATACTTATTTAATCAAATGTGTTTTGGGGACATTCTGTAGATGTACATGATTAAAATCTGTATTTTTGAGATTCAAGCCTGAATATCGAAAAACGAGCAGCTCGTTATTCGAGATTCGCCAATATAAAAAAAAGGAGAAAGAGAAGTTTTTATGTGAATCCATTGCTCAGGCATCCTCTTTTACGATATAATTAGTTCGGTTTAGAACACTGATTTAATCAAATGTGTTTTGGAGACATTCTGTATATATACATAATTAAAGTCTGTATTTTTGAGTTTCAAGTCTGAATATCGAAAAACTCGTTTTTCGATTTTCACCAATATCAAAAAACAAGGAGAAAGAGCAGTTTTTATGTGAATCCACTGCTCAAGCATCCTCTTTTACGATGTATTTAGTTCGGTTTAGAATACTTATTTAATCAAATGTGTATTTTTAATCTGTATTTTTTAGATTCAAGCCTGAATATCGAAATACGGAGAAAGACATTTTTTTTATGTGAATCGAATACTCAGGCATCCTCATTTATAATATCTTTAGTTCGTTTTACCAAACGTATTTAATCAAATGTTTTT